GCAGATCAACTGTCATTCACAAAGCAGTCTTTAGCTCTCAGGTGTTCCCCCAACCCTCATTCATGGAGCCTAGTGTGCAGTTCTTCCTATTAGTTACTTTTCTTATCATTGTGGTAGACACATGACAGAAGCAACGCAAGGCAGGAAGATGTATTTTGGCTTGTTTCTTCAGGGAAGGCAATGCATCATGGTGAGACGAAATGCCATAGTAGCTCTCTCCATGGCAGTTCAACGGGGCACTCACAGCAGGAAATGGAGGCTCATTCACTTTGTGACTGACAGGGAATAAATTACACGGTTGGAACTAGAAGTAATTACCACCTTTCAGATTCATCCCTGTTCACATTTGGCTAAGGTACACCACAGTCTGAAGGTTTCCACAAACTTCCAAAACAATATCATCACCTGGCAACACATTCAAACACAAGAGCCAGTAGAAGACATTTCACATGCATCCGTACCACCCTTATTCTCCTCGAAAACATGAATGCCAGCTCTAAGAAATAAGAGTATGATCTCTTTTATGTACTGTTAATTTGTTATCACCTAAAACAAGGCAGACTAGGGTCACAAAAATAATCCTTCAATATTTATAACTTCAAAATATAAATTTCAACTTTGTTTTGGGTTATTTTCTGATTTTCCAGATAATAGATGTAGAAAGTTGAGTTGGAAGCACAATGGGTTGAAATAAAAAAGAGATAGTCCAACATTTCTTTATAGTTATTACATGAGAATAAGTGATAGAAGTTTTCTGAATTTTCATTTTCTAGTAAGACAAAAAATTCTATTCAGTTGTTGCTGTGGGGTTCAGAGATGGTAGACATGTGCCTAGTATTCAACCAAGCACATACTGATTGCCCAATCTGGAACAACCAATAACTAAGGGCAGATAACCTTCCATTGGGCCTTCTACCTACATATCATGTTGTTTACGTCTGAATTATAGTACTAAGCACTTTGTAGTAGATAATATCATGCCAGATATTTTCAGTGGAAGAAACTGTTACCTATTTATTTAATGTTCTTGGGAAATTCTGCTCTTAAAATTAATTCAAAATGCTAAATAAGTAAAACTTCCCTAGTATTAAACACTAGTACTATCTCTTAGTGCCAATGATATAACTGCTGTGTTTGTCTTAATGGTCTTTACATTCATGTTCATCTTCTTCTACTTTCAGTTATATGATTTGTGTAGAGACAGGAAAACTACTTTGTAGTCATACATTATTGGTATCTAACAGGTCATCTTAAGCATGCATGCTTATTATGTGACAACACAATAAATACTGTTAATGTGTGACAACACAATAAATACTGTTAATGTGTACAGTACTAGGAAAGTTGTTATTAAGAAGAATATAATCTTTCATGTGATATTATACTTAAGAAAATTTCAGATTTATAGTAAGAACTGTTTCCTTTAGGTATGATACGGAATCTAAGGTGAAATATTAAAGTGCGGAATCAAGTTGAGCTATAACATTTATGATACCGAAAGTAGTCGCTGTGGCTTTGTGTTGTAGAGTCTGATATATGAGCTTTTTCATATACTTCTCATTCCAGAAACCAGTACCCATAGGACTTTATTGGTTAATCCAGTGCATTCTCTGTGCAGTACAGTGTGCAGGACAAAGAAGTGGGTGAAGTTAATTTTATTGCCATATATGCAGCTATTACCCTCTTCTCAGAATAACAGCTAGCTCACACAGACAGAAATAATAAGGAAAGGGTGTAGTCAGGGTTAATTTCACATTATATTCACATTATGTAATAGGAATAATATGGAATTTTTATTTTATCCAGGTATGTTGCAATGTGGAAATTTACCTAAGGCAGTAAAAATAAAATGCTGGTCATATATAATTTAAAAATGCTGTGTTTTGTCTTCATTTTCTTTCCAAGTGGTTGCTGTGACTTAGTCACAGAATAACTGTGGATAATGGTGAATTATGAAGAGGAGATTTGGGATTCATCACTCATGAGTGATAGGAGATATACACAGATACAAATGTGTGGATGCATTTATAATTAAAGTAAGCTTTTTCCTTACTAACTGCATCTAACAGTACTAATATCCTTAAAATTAAGTAGTGGCAACCAGTTAAGTACTGAATGACATTTGTAGAATGAACAATTTTTCATGTTTGTGGAAATCTTTTTTTTACAAGAAAGCACACTTGTCTTGTGCTCATAACATCAAACCTTGGTCTTATTTTCAAATATAGGAAATATAATGCTTTCCTTCTATATTCTATAAAAGCTCGAGTTGAAATGCATATTTTCTTACTAAATTGCTGTATTTTGTTTTCATTTTCCTTCCAATTGTTTGCTGCAGCTTAGCCATGGAGCAACTGAGAACAATGGTGAATTATGAAGAGTAACTTTGGGGATCATCACCAAGTGACATTGGCAGACACATGCAGATGGTGTGTGCACACTTAATAAAAGTAAGCTTTCCTTCTAGCATTTTCTGTAGAGCTGGATTCATGGATACATATTGTTTAAATCTGGCTGACAATTCTCAGTAGAGGAGGCTAAAATGGCCAAGAGACACTTAAGAAAGTGCTCAACATCCTTAGCCATCAGGGAAATGCAAATCAAAACAACTCTGAGATACCATCTTACTCCTGTCTGAATGGCTAAAATCAAAAACACTGAAGACAATTTATGCTGGAGAGGATGTGGAGAGAGAGGAACACTCCTTCACTGCTGGTGGGAGTGCCGACTCATACAGCCTCTTTGGAAATCAGTATGGAGATTCCTCAGGAAAATGGGAATTAATCTACCACTAGACCCAGCAGTTCCACACTTAGGCATATATCCAAATGAGGCAAGTTCATACAACAAGGGCATCTGCTCCACTATGTTCATAGCAGCATTATTTGTAATAGCCAGAACCTGGAAGCAACCTAGATGCCCCTCAACTGAAGAGTGGATAGAGAAAATGTGGTACATTTACACAATGGAGTATTACTCAGCAGAAAAAAATAATGGAATCTTGAAATTCGCAGGGAAATGGATAGCACTGGAAGAAACCATCCTGAGTGAGGTAACCCAGTCGCAAAAAGACAAACATGGTATGTACTCACTCGTATATGGATTTTAGACATGGATCAGGATAGTGCCAGTTTGCACTTCCACTGATAGAGAGTCTGGGTAACAGGAAAGAACCTAAAAGATATGCATATATGCATAGTACCCAAGAGAAGAGGATGGAGACAAGATCCCCTGAATGGATGGGGAACACGGCGAGGAGTGGGGGGGGGGAGTGGGACCTGGGAAGAAGAGAGGGGTGAAGAGGAAGAGAGTTGGTCATGGGGGAAAAGGAAGTTGAGGGGGTGGTGGTAAAATAGGGGGAAGAGGGAATCATAGGATCGAATACAGATCAGGCACCAGAGCGACCTCGAGTGATCTAAAGGTATAACACCAATTGGCAAGCTAAGCAATAGTGGAGAGACCACCTCGAATGCCCATTCCTGATAATGAACTTGGTGTCTATAACCATCGCGGAGCCTTCATCCTGTGACTGATGGAAGCAGAGGCAAACACACAGTTAATCCCTGAACTGAACCCGGGGGTATCATACCAGTGACAGAGAGAGAGGAGTGATGAGCAAATTGGCAAAGAATGGGCTGGCAAAACCAGCAGAGACAGCTGATCTGAACAGGGGAGAGCTCTTGGATCCCAGACTGACAGTGGGGAGGCCAGCATGGGACTGATCTGGACCCCCCAGGTGTGAATATCAGCGAGAGGGCCTGGGCAACCTATGGGGCCCTGGGCTGTGGATCGGTGTCTATCCCTGGTATACAGGCAGTCTTCGTGTGCCTGTAGCACAAAGAGGGATGCTCTCTCAGCCTGGACTCTTAGGGGAATGCCTGGACCCTACCCAGAGTAAGATGACAGACTCTGATATCCCCTATGTGGAAGGATTTGGCAATGGGGTGGGAGGGTGGGGGAAAAGGGGAGTGCGGGAGGAGGGGAGGGAGAGGGAACTGGGATTGACATGTAAAACAAGCTATTTAAAATGAAAAAAAAAAGTGAAAAAAAAAACAAGCTGCTGGCAAGGAAAAAAAAAGTAAGCTTTTACTTTGCTGACTACATCTAAGCTGATCAATACACAAAATTAAATTCTTAAAAATATTAAGATAATATTCTCGTATTTACATCTTTGTGTTATAGAATTTGCCTTTTATTTTCATTCATATTTTATTTTTCTTTAATTTTTATTAGCTTTTACAGTTGCACAAAATAAATATCCTGATCCTGAGATTTTCATGCATATATAAATTTATTTTGCTCATATTTAACACCTATTTTCTCTTTTCTCAAACTGTTCATTGGGAATAAATGAACTGGACCAGGTACATTTTTGTGTAATAAAAGTACTTTAATAGCTTGTAATTAAAAATATAAATTTAGTCTGCTAATGAAAAACAACAATTGACATTAAGTGGAAATTATTTAACTAAGGTGGGGAACCGTAGACCCACAAAAAATGAAAAAAAAAAAACAAAAACCCAAAAGAATGACAACCCACCCGCAACAACAACAGTAACAACAAAACAACCAAGCAATGCAGTAATTGTAAACCGAAGCTACTGAGACATTTTAAAATTTGTATAGTAAGACGTCACAGAAACAGCATACTGGGAAATGGCTAAGCTGGCAAGCAAATCATCGCTATTAGATCCCATTCATGATTTAAATTCTGCTATTTTATCTTTTCCTAACATGCAGTACTTTTTCAACCTCACATTTCCAGGCATTTCAGTGCCTGCTGACATAAGTGCTTTCCCAAAATAGAGTCTCGCAGCAATCTTCTGCTAGACGTCTACGCCCATTTGTGCATGTATTTTTTAGGATGCTTTTTTTTTTTTTTTGAACCTCTTAACTGTGAGAGGGCCTGGAAGGTAGGATTAGAATGAATGGGAACTTGTTTCCCGAAACGACACTAGACACTATATCTACTCTTAAAAAAATAAATCACAGTCTCCTACCTTAAAAACAAACATCTCCCGCCGAAGAATAGCTAGAGTGTTGAAGTTCCCATCACAGATGTTGGGTTTGGCTCCAGGATAGGAAGGTCTGCCAGTGGGAGGCCGGGGAGGTTTTGGCCTGTCATTTTTCTTTGGGTCAGCAGGAGGAACAGATCGGTGAGGGGGCACTGTCGGTAGAGGTCTTGTGGGTGGAGGGATCTTGTCAGGTGGACCTTTTGAAAACATGAGGACAGTGCTTGGCTCACTTAAACCTGGAATAGTGCTGGAAGATATGCTACAGAGAACAAGTGCTTATCAGCAGAGGGCACAGACTAAGCAAGCTGAGAGGTCATTAAGATCGTATATTTTCAGAAAACACAAACCCTCAAACCCTCCCAACTGCTACCAAGGGTGTCTCAGACTGTCCTCATAAGCCTGGAGTTCAGCTCCTAGTACTATGACTTCTTTGTTAATTTTTAGTGAGTTTTATTTTATACCTTCAACTCAGTCACTATTGGGAAGTTGCTCTCAAAAGCAGTTTAAAAGTAGGTTTTCATGAAAAAATAGAAGTATGAGAATAAATACTGGACTCAATAGCTGTGAGCTTTATTCAAGAGGAAACTGGACTTCGACAGATGCTGATTCCATGAAAATATTTCCAAAGACAAACACTAGCAAAGCAAAGGTTATTCTACCATATGTCTCCAACTATGTATTACAAGCTTATACTGATTTCATTATTTTATTTTAAAGAACTATCTTGACAGATAACTCAGTGTTTCATTTAAATACTGAATCTAAAGTGTCCATTGATTAACTTACCACTGGTGAAATATTAATGTAAAGTATTTCTAAAAACAGACTTCCAAGTCCAGTCAAAGTTTACTCATGTAATTTGCAACAGATGTTAGCCATCAATCCTCAAGGGACTGATGCTGTTTCTCTTTAATAAATAGAGTTGTTCACACTTAATATTCAGATATTCTTTCATGGACCTTCAGTCTAGACTACTAATTCATGAGGTCATGAGAAAGAGACTTCTTTGAGTTAACCAAGTAGAAAGAATTTCTGATGACACACAGAGTTGATGGATCTCTCTCTCAATATCCAAGCTCTTTGAATTTCTGTCTGTGACATGTATCACTACATCCAATCCAATTTCAAATTCACTTTACCCCTAAGAGAATTGTATTAAAATAAAAAAAAACTAATGAATGCAAAACAAATTACTGCACATGAATTATATTATTTAAAAGGCAAATCATACATTCTAGTTACTAATTGTTGACACACTGATAGCACACATTCATCTTTATAGAAATAAAAGTTTTATTTCCTTAATCTAGCAAAGCATACCTGCTATAGGCAGATAATTAATGTCAAAACCAAAATAATATGAGAAATAAATATCTTTACAAAGTCACTGATCGTACTGAGGACATTATGGTCACTATAAATACCCATGACAGTTTTTCCTCATTTATCTTAATTTGCATTTGTTGAATAAAATCTATTAGTAAAGAAATACTATCAAAAAAGAAATGTAGTTCAGAATATTAGAAATAGAACTGATGCAATCTGTTGAAAAAAATTAGTCACATATTTGCTTTATTCACTTATTATTTCACTTTCATTCTGACTCAAATAACTTTGAGGTCAATATCTTCTTATATATATTGCAAAAATTGTTTTCTTGACCTTCAAAAGTTATTTGTCTTAGAATTCCAGAAACTTTAAACACTAAGTTCGGCTGTCAATGGGTAAGAAAGTTTATTTACATTATGTGACAATTTGTACTTTTAAATATTTTTATGAGTTATGTTTTTATTTTAATATAATACTACCTAAATTGCTTGAAACAAACTTCTCTTTCTTAATATTTATTTATTTATTTATTTATTATGTAGACAATATTCTGCCTGCATGTATCCCTGCATGCCAGAAGAGAGCACCAGATCTCATTAAGGATGGTTGCAAGCCAACATGTGGTTGTTGGGAACTGAACAAAGGACCACTGGAAGAGCAGTCAGTGCACTTAACCTCTGAGCTGTCTCTCCAGCTCTACTACCTAAATTTTAAATGTGCACACTATTAGAAAGTTTTGTAATTCTAACTTTACAGCATGATCAACAAGAAAGCTTTGCCAGTAATTAAGTCTTCTGGTAATCTACATAATAAGATTTAGGGAACTATTCCTGATATAACTTGACTGATGATAGAATTTTTCCAGTTAGATGGAACATTTTTCTTCTATTTTTCTCTGTTTTATATACTAAAGCACTCTATCTCAAAGGGGGAAGCAAACATGCACATGACTTCTAATTTCCCCATCAAATTAGGCAAACAGGAACAGTGGAACCTACCATATATTTTCTGGATGCCCTGCAAATCATCATTAGGAAGCTTGAAGTTGTCTGTTTCCATGTACTGGTAAAATGGTGCCATGATAGCAGTGGGGTCATTGGAATGCTCCAGTCCTAGAGCATGCCCCAGCTCATGAACTGCTACAAGGAATAAGTCATTTCCTGTCAAATGAGAAGAATATAGAGTAAGATTATTGCAAGTGATAGCCACTGGAATGAAAAGGGCAACTTACCATTATAAAAACATTAACCAGAAAAGGAAAAGAACCCCTTGCTCAAGTGGTCAACATGATTTTAACATTTGCTAATGGCAAATATTTGCTTTAAAGAGTTGAGATAGGTGATGGTGAAGGTATGGATGCTTAGAGATTATAAAAAAGGTTTTAAAAAGTTTAAAAGCAATATCAAGACCTAGAATCACTGGTGTTAATGTATCTTTTCAATCATAAGGGAAAATACATAATCTTAGCACAATTTATGCAATAACAAAATATAGAGCAAATATATAAATCCTATATTACAAGAATCCAATAAGGCACAGAGAATTTGCTTGTCCCCTTGATACACATATCTACAATTCTAATCAATGCATAGGTTATATGGACCAAAGGCATTTACTTAGGAACTTTGTTCTATCATTGAAAATTTTCACTTAAGTAAACTTGTATAATATAGTCTATATAATATAAATTCAAGAGAAATCTTGGGGTGATACTCAGGTCATTCTTCTACCTTCTTCTACTCTGTCTTTCATTTTTCTGCTATTTCTTATTCATTTTTCATCCTTCTTTAAAAGTCTCATTTTATGTTTAAAGACAGGTGCCCTATGTATCCTTAGGCTAACTTTGAATTTGTGGACTTGCTGTCTCAATCTCTGATGTGCTAGAATTTTTATCTGTAAGACTAGAATTCTAAGAATTTCATTTCTAAGGAAATTATTAGAGGTATTGAGAGGAAGTACAACACTTTCTTTGGAGGTCTTGTTATGAATAAAAATAATATCAATAAGCACTACTTTCAGGAAAAACCCCTATCAACTATTTCAAACACTATAATACAATTTAATGACCCTCTTTTGAGAATTATATAATTTTTTTGACACAGAGTAGGAAAATAAGCAAATATATTTACATTCCTGAGTAGTCTGTCTCAGTGAAATGGAAGAGGTCATGTGACCAATTCTCATGTGACACTGGCAAACTGAAGATGAGGGAGCCACAGAAACATTTACAGCATCTCTTTATTCCCAAAGAAAATTGACTAGAGACTGTTATAAAAATTTCAAGGGGATTTAAAAAAGAGATGATAATGAGCATTTTCAGACTTCAGAAACTTACCTTCTTTTCTTATAAAATTAACTAGTAATGAAAATTAAGACATAGAAAAATATAATATTTAATTATCTGTAATGGAAAAAAGATATACCTTTACTAGAAACTTACTTCCAATTCTATAGATGTTTTAAACACTTTCACCACACCTTCTTATTTAATTTTTGCAAAAAATTATATGATTTTGTTATTTATAATTATTACTTTCATTTTAGTAAATCAGAAAAGTGTGGGAACTGTTGCACAGCAGTTACTTCTAAGATAAAATTTTTCAGCTTTGAGGGAAGCTCTTTCAGATTCAGAATCTTCTAAAGCAAGGTGAAGCATCTACCTTACATTCAATGTCATGAAAATTTAGGATTTTCCCAACTCAATAGCCTCAGAAAATCCCTGACCAGATTAATTACCCCATAATCTTCCCAAGCTTATACAGTAGTGGTGACTGCAAAGAGACACTTAGACTAGGAGAACTACTTACTAGATGCTTCCACCAGCCTGGATATCTGGAAAAGACAGAGCAGCCAAGCTGCCTAGAAAAGGTTGTGACCAACTGAGCTGCTGAAAAGAGACACCTTCCAATCTATCAATCAGCATGCAAGTTATATAGTGATGTCATGGTTTATAGTTTCCAAGAGTCATCACTCATGCTAGAATGGGCATTTGTTGATGCAGCTATTTTTCAGTTATTTCTTGGTTTCTAAGTAACTTCCCAAAGCTCACTGGTTCACGAAGTTGGACTTTAGGATATCATTTGATCTGTCAATGATTCCCTATCTGGGTTGAGTAGCATTTTGTTCATGTCTCCCAAGGGTCCATTCATACAACAGAAAAGTGTTATGGGAAGGAAAATAGAAAAAAAAAGAGGATGACACATACTACAATTTCGGTTCTCTAGTTAGAGGAAAGTGGAGGATAAAAAAGACATTGTGGTAAAAAAAAAAGTATAGAGAATAAATCAGCTTTTTTTTTGCGAGACAAGGTTTCTCTGTGTAGCTTTGGAGTCTGTCCTCAGACTGGCTCTGTAGATCAGACTGGCCTTGGACTCACATAGATCCACCTGCCTCCGTATCCCATATGCTGGGATTAAAGGCATGTGCCACCAATGCCCAGCTCTATTATCTTTTATCAAAAAGTATATGAGGATAATGTTGATGAGCAAGGGAACATTAATGAGGATTTGTAACTTCTCTGGTACAAAAATGTCATGAAAGACAGGAAAGGATGGAGGGAAAAGTGATAGAGAGAGGGAGAGAGAAAGAGAGAGACAAAGACAGAGACAGACAGAGACACAGAGAGAGAGACATAGAGAGAGACAGAGAGAAAACATGGTGATTCTCAAGTTTCACAATCAGAGGACAGAGAACAAGGAGTGTCCTGTATTTTAACCACTATAGCAGTGCACAGATGTGAAAGGTTTAAATAAGTAAACTGTATTCTAATGCAGAATTTATAATCAACTTACTGTAAGTTAAAGAAAAACCGAAGAACTTGACTCATGGCAATGACAAAGAATTAGTGTAGGTGACAGGGAGACAGACATGTGGACTGTGGCAGAAAGGAAAACTTCTATTTGAGTCTCCATCATTTCCCCACTGTCTACCAGTAAATCCTGTATCCTGGGAGACAAGACATAACCAAGAATATTGGCACATATGTCTGTGCCCTGCCATTTCAAAAATATCTCTTATTTCCTTCTGCGAACCTTTTATGGTTAGAGGAATATAAGCGTGTTCTGTCTTTAGGGTCTCTACTAAACTATCTCCTTCCTGGGATGTCATTTCTCCCACAAGGTGTTGGATCCTCACTTCTTTAGAAATATTATCTATCACAGATTAAATTTTCTTTTTCTATGAAGATTTTCTTTCAGGTCAGACAGCCTTATGACCTGTTGTGCTCTTCATACTATCACAGCCCTAGTGTAACACTCCAGCTATTTCATGACACTTATGTTTTATTAATACTGTCTGTTCACATATTTTCCTGCATATTTTGAATAAAGACTGATATTGAGCATTACTTACTTTAGTTTCTATAATTCTGAAGGTATTGGCTGCCCCAAAGCAGATATTTAATATTTCAATGAGTTTTAATAAACAGAACAATGTCTGAGAAATAGAAAGCTAATTAAAATTGAGCATTAAAATAAGAACATAAATTCCTTCTAAACATGGTTTGAAGTGCGCGTCTAGATATCCTGCTAAATACTGTAAGGGAATGATAAAAGTTATGAGAAAAAGACAGAAAGACCATTGCTCAGAGAAAACTTCAGAGAATAGAGCAAGAACACCTATGTTTTCCTGTTGCTCAGTGAACAGCAGTGAATGCTTATGGTTCAGATAACATGCATAATTACTATGGCTTTGTTGGGGTATTATACTCAGAGAAGAAGAAAGAAAAACAGAAAGGAGGAGAGTCACTCCTGAAGTGGTTGGCAAGTATATTTGCAGGTGTGCAATTTGGAGAGACACCTAAGGAGTGTAATATCAATAATTATTTCAAGGCAAGAGGAAGACTTTGAAAAAAAAAACAACAACAACATTTTTTTAGACAGAAAGAGCATCTAACTCCAACTCTAAATACTTTTAAAATCATAAACCACAAAATCTAAAACAATGAATTTGTTTCACCAAATAGTGTTAAGTGGTACTGGCCAGTGGTAGAAGTGGTAGGCCATCTTCCGAGCATACCAAACCAGGTCAAAATAGATGAATTTGGCTTCAATCCTCTATCAGTGGGCTAAAAGTAAAATCAAACTATCCCCAAGGGCAAAATTCTTAGGTAAATGAAGATAAAATAAACAGTGGAGTAGAAAAAAAATCAAGGCAGCCAATTGAAGAGCAGAAAATACAAAAGATGGCACTAAATTTTACAGCAAACAGCTGGCTAAATGTGAGTTCAGGAAGGGGGCAGTGCTGGTTCATGTGGCTTTAGACTCTCTATGTCTCCATGTGGCAAGACAGATACAGACTCTTTGTTCAAAATCTCAAAGTGGCCTCCCAATAACTGTCTTCCTTTTGTTCTTTAAAGGGAAAAATATTATCTCTTCATTGGTTTTCACCTTGTGGATCAACTTGCCTTCATTTGCAGAAGAAATACCAGGAAACTAATGCCTAAGTAAACATATGGGAACCAACTGTCCTGTACTTAGGCAAATGTATACTGCTTCCAGCCATCCACTAAGCTGTTGGCTAGTGGCCTAGCTAAATTATTAAAAGTACTTCAGATCTCACAGGAAACAAGTCTCCTGGTCAGTTTTTCCCCTTGGCTTCCAAGAGGAACATAAAAGACAAAAATAAACCATACAGAACAGCAAATAGGTCATAATAGACAAAATCAATTTAAAACATGAATAGGTCATGAAATTATTCAGGTTTTCCACAGCATTGTCTTCAAGGATAGAGCTATTCCTTGGGAAATGAATAGAGAAGGTTTTAGAAGAAATTTAGCAGAATTGGTGTGTGAACTTATGATCTGTTTTACATGCATGATGCTTCAATAAGAAACATTGGCCAAGTGTTCCAAGTAATTACAATTCTACTGATGATTGATCATACTGTAATTGAACATCACTTGCAGCTTCACAATAGTCTGAAAGGGTAAGTTGTTAAATACAGTACCACCCTGTGATTTGAGTTACTAGGAACAAAAGTTGTTGGCACATAAAGAGGTTTGGGTAATCAGAATGCACCTAATGCTGAAAATAATAACTGCTTCTGCAGTACCCCATTCATTCACATTATTTAGGCTTTTCAATTGTAATATGCCTGATCCTATCAACAAGCGGGCAACAATGGAGAAATCAGCCTTTCTGTTCTTAGCTCAGAAATAGCA